TTTAAAAATCTACAATAGCAAAATAAAAAAAATGAATCACAATCCAAGACAAGTTATTCAGTATTTATCACTCGGGAAGGAGGTACTCAATTGTTTTCAGAATCTGAAGCGAGATGCCCTCTCATGATATCGCTATGCGAGTTTGATCAGAGTTATGACTAGCAACTGGTGATATTTCTTGTAAAGCTTGCTTTTTCCTTTTTTCTTTGATAAATGAAGCTCTACTTTTCCAGCTCAGCAAGTGGCCCGAAGAGAGTACGGAGTGAGAAATGAGTGACTGCATTTACTTTTTACAATTTCTCTCGTATAAGGTCCTGCAATGAGCAAAAAATCTCACTCCCTCCCCTCCTCTACGCACCACCTTTATAATGCGTAACGCTCAATACGAACATAACATAAAAGCTAGACAAGAAGTAGAAGTTAACCCGAACATCCAAAAATCGGAATTACCTCATGCTGACTCCTCTTCTTCTGCAGAATTCCTTGTAGCTCGTTATTCGACGCATTGGCAATGATGATCCAAACTGAGATAAAAGGATAATCTAGCCGATATGTAGCTGACACCAAACTTTGTTAACGCGTTTTCATTAGGTTGGAAAGAAAGTCCTGCAACACTTTTTCAATTTTTTGATTTTAATTTATCTTTTTTGTTTACAACTCCTGACCGGTCATATCTACCATGAGTGTCCACCACTTGTCTTCAACGCTCAGAAAATTTCTTGATGCTCCTTTGCCAAAACCCAGCGGAGTGCGGGTCGAGAAAGGAGGCGACCTCACTTTCGAGTTGGAGTTGATCGTCTAATTATTTCGTCATCAAGATGATGATTAAGGTCCAGGATAGGTGGCAGTCATTATAGCTCGACCAGGGGAATACGCTAAGAGAGGTAAGAAATCTTGCCGCAGCTCCAGAATTTCTTACCGGGCTCATTTCGGATCATGGTGATTCGCAATGTCATGAAAGAAATGAATATTGTCGCGGTACGAGGGCTCTTGACGAGCTGCCTCGGCCAAGTTGGGACGCTGCTGGCTTCTTATAAAAATATCAAAAGATCGGAAGCGCTGGTAGCGGTGAACGACATGCCTATTGAAGCTATTGCAGATAGTGTTGGTCTTTGACACGAATCCATAGTTATGGAGACATTTGTACTAGACAGTGACTCGGAGTATGGATTTACTAGTGGTCGAGGTTTTTTGAATTTTCTTGGATAACTTCTTGCAGGGCGGAAGTGGTGTAGTGGCAACGCTTACCACGCGAGCGGTCCGGGATCAAATCCTGGGTCGTGAGTCGCCCGGGCCAACCAAGCCTTCCATCCCTCCGGGGTCGGTTAATTGGTACCAGACTTGTCTGGGAGGATAAAAACACTGACTTGTACATCGGCTGGCCCCCGCAAGTCATTGTATAGGCCACATCGCATTCAAACGCCACTACGAATGTACAAATGGAAGTAGAATGCGTGCCGCATCCCAAAAAGGGATTGATCAACGGCAAATGCTTTATCCTTTATCCTTTAACTTTGACTGCAGCACTTATATCCACCTCGTGGATTGAAGCCTCGAGAATGCTCTACCATTTGTTAGTCATAAATGTTACCTATGAATTTTTCAGAAAAAAAGAAAATTTTAGAAAGAGTGTTGCAGAACTTTCTTTCCAACCTAATAACTGACGAGCATCATTCTTGCAAAAAATTGAATTTGAATTCAAAGAGTTTTTAGTAGTAGCAAATTGTGTGATAGATTATTATCCATAAGCGTTGCCCTGGACCATCAACATTTTTCGAGAATTCTAGGGAGCTAGAATAGTCACCTCATCAACGCCGGATTTTTTCGAGGATGTCATATTTCGCGGTAGTACTGGGCATCATCTCGAGGAGCGCAGGCAGGTTTGCAGGCCCTAACTGGTGAGCCGGTATTAGGTCTTTGACAAAGGTTTCCACTCCAGCCAAATTCATTGATCATGGCTCACTTCCTCCCCCTCCCCTTATTCACTAAGCACCTAGCTAAAATATCACTAGCCGTCGTCCCCCCCCCCCCTCCCTGACCTTTTAATGCCGCGCATTTTCGCAAATTGGAATGCGCATGATTTCAAAACCGTAACATTGTACTGATCGTGTGAGACACATTACAGGATAAAACATTTATCAAGATAATCAGTGAGGTCAATAAAGCATTTCGAAATGTACAACGTTATAATAAGGAATTAATCATCCACCAATAGCACGAATTTTGACGAAAAACTAACAGAATAATGATTATGAGGACAAACTGCTTAGTTATTGAAACAATTTGAAATAAACCTAAAGACCATGAAGGCCTCACACGATCAGAACAACGAGCAAATATTCTCAACAACATTGATGCACAATTTCAGTGAAAGAACTGCTCCCGCTATACAAAAAAGTAACAATATGTTAACATTAAGATCGCAGTTACCTGGCCAATACAAGGGGAGAGCTACCAAACTCGAAATTGAAAGGAAAATAAATACCTAGATCTGATCACAAAATTCAACATGCGCTTGTTTCGAGCCGGTTGGGGACGGGCTTAGCTAAACAAGCGGGAACTCTGCTTCAGCGAAAACTACCATTAGGCTCATGATGTTGCATTCCCGAATGGTTTGGAATTTCGCCGCCGTCGACGACATAGCCATCGTTATCGTATACAACCTCTTCGCGAACATAACTCTCCACCGGCGCAGGCGCCAGCACCACGCGCGATGGGATCGTCACGGCGTTTTTTACGTAGTATACCCGTGGAGAACTCTGAACATGTTCTGACACATTCACTTAAAAAGCGAGCAAGACAGCGATGTGCGTTTTTTTTACTAGACAAGATATAAAAGATTAAAATTAATTATAACAGTCGACGAAAAATATACTTACGGAATTTGACTGCACTCTAGCACCACCCATCATTGGCGTGGAACCACGCGGAACTGCTCGATGGATGGACGAATTTTGGGCGTATCTAAATTATTTTGCTATAATTTACACAACCTTAATTAGTGAAACAAAAAATTAGACTTCGAGACAATCGTTTTGTAGAAAACCCATGGCCTCCCATTCAATTCATTCCAACAAACTATCCCCGTAAGCAAGAAAAATATAAAAGCGCTTCTGAAAAAATAAGGTCCTTGAGAGTCGTAGGCAGAGCATTTTATACGGCAGCCAAAACGAATTAAGCGGAAACTGAAAAAAGGCAAATAATCGTACCTAGATGGATGAAACCTGTCTACAGAATGAGTTCCAAACCGCTGATCGTTGTACACCACTTGTTCCTGACAAAAAAAAATTTGTGGTGGATTTACAAAGAGTGCATTCATGTTCAGAGACGTGACGGTCGAACCATCACATAGTGGTGGTGGTGTAGGGTGGGGGTGGTGTGGGTGGGTTGGGTGTCATCTCTTCCAAGACAGATAATTCAGAATAGCAGGTTTCACGGACGATGCAAGCTCCAAATAATGCATGGGCACATGACGGAATCTATAAAATATATGTACGACTATGCAGATGCTCACAGCTTGAATAAACATGGAAATATTGAATCATGCTCTATGACCATTCTGCTGTGATTGGGGTGTGATGGTGTTGGTAGGGCTGCGGAGCTTTCTCGTGCACTACCGGTGGGGGCCATTTTTTTTCATAAAGGGTGTCCGAGGCTGGGGGAGTGTCCACCGGTTGCTCGATTGGAACTCGTCCTTGCGACAACGGCGGCTCGGGTCGATACGGGTGTGCCCTCCGAATGCACGACTGTTCTGATGCTCCGCCCTGAAATCATGATAAGGATTGCATTGCAATACAGGTCGATCTGGCTGCAGGCATTTTTTGTCCAAGTATCAAAATAGGCTGAATACTTACGGTGTGCGAATATTTCTCGTTTGGAACTCTGGGTGCTGCTGCGTATTATGGTGTTTGGAGGAATTCGACTCCTCACAGAAGAAGTAGGTCTGAAAAACACAGTCAAAACGACATTTGAAAGGACGTCAGGTTTAAGTGACTATCGAATTAAGCTATTGATTAGAGCGCCAAGCAAGCTGCCTCACCTATTCTTAACTTTCCGGAAGCGCTTATAGCCTCTCGTTCGAGGAAGCAGAATTTTATTATGAGATAATGGGTAAGACGACAGGGGGTGGCGTTGTAAGAACGTGTTTCGTGTGGTTGTCGAAGTCTACAACATGCCGTCGTTAATATGTGGGTCTAAAGGCGGTCATCTCTGTTTCAATTTCTACTCACATCGCTGGAATGTACATATCATGGCAGACGCGCTCATCCGAAGGTTTGAGAGTATCTTCGTAGAACTGAGTTGTGCCGTCGGAACGGCGAACCATCAAGCAGTTTCCAGCCAGTTGGAACCAACTACCCGGGTGACCGCTGAACGAAATCAACATTTCTAGCAAATTGGATGAGATCCAGAAAAAAAAATCTCTCACTGAAACTGCGGATGGAGGTTGAACCACCCCGCGACGTAGTCATAGGTGACAATACACGAGCTGAGGCTACGCGTCCGCTATAGGAACCACCAATATTATCGTATCTGGAAAAAGATAATCGTTATCGGGTCATCATACTACTTTTACGATCAGAAAAGGGAAGCTGCTAAAGTGGCAGACCTAGGGATAACGGGAGGACCATCATTGGACATTCCATTGCCGGCCATCTGCCTGGATGAAACTGGATGCCGAGTTGGTGCCGATTCTTCTCCGCTCACATCACTAGTGACGATCGTTTCTTCAGCGCCGAGTGGTACAACGCTTTCTTCAAAGCAAGGCCCGCTAGGCTTCATGCAGTCCCATCGGCTTAAAAATATTAGTATGCAGAAAGAGAAACTGAGGGCAGCATAGCGCAGTCAGCCCACTAAAGTTACCACTAGAGCTGCTTTTATAACCAATACGGTTCAACGTCAATAATAGAAATTATGACTGTAAGAAGATCCAAGAAGGATAAACTAAGAAAGGTCGTACAAGGTTTGAGTTCATGGACTAGCATAACGACCGGGATGTGCAAAATATTTATGCGGTGTGGCGTTCTCTTTTGGCGCGATATCACAACGCCAAACTGGTTACCCTTTCACCTACTGCGCTACTGAGACGGAATCAAAATGCTACCGAAAGAAAGGTGCAGGCCTTATAGTCTACTTGAGCTTCTACCCTGTTACTCGTTGCACTCTATAGGTCAAGTGATTCCACAAAAAGTAACCGAAATCTGCGCCGTACAGTCATCAGTTCATTACACTGAATCAACATATCGACAGCAAAAATGCCTCATCTCTTTAAAAGGTTGCCGCCAGGCCGGGAATTTCGAGTCTCACAACAATAGCACATGAACGTGATAAGCTAAGGAAGAATAAGCTAGTTATTATCGCACCGAGCCTAACACGCGTCAAGACAGCTCAAAACTCGAGCTTGTTACACAAAATCATGTATAGTTTAGAAAAGCGGACAGCAGGAACAACACGACTTGCAAATCCATGTTTAACTAGCAAGCCAATGCTGCATGCCATCTTTTACTCTTGTAACACCGATTGACTTTCTACGGTTAGGCTGATGGAAAACTAGAACTTCAGAGTTAATGCAGAGCAGTGTGCAAGCATATCACTAGATTACACAGCGCCGCTGCTTTGTTCAAAAGTGCGTCGTGTCAACTGCCAAGCGATCAATAGAGGTTGTCCTTGGCATACGGCCAATTTGATCGAAAGGAGCGCACCGATTGTTTGGAGCGAGACAACTGCTTTGCCAAGTTTTGACGGACTACTTCCACAAATTAAATAAAAGTATAGAAAAATAGTAGGTGCTAACCCAGTTGAAGGTTCATGCGGCGACGCGACGCTGTTTGTTTGCACCTTAAGGCTTAGTCAGAGTGGCCGGTACTAATTGGCCTCACCGTGGCAGCTTCAAAATACATTGGCACCGCAGGGGTGCGTGACTATTCAATCGCGGCGATAGCTAGATCGCCGCACGCATCAGTGTAAGTCAAACTGGTAGCTAGTTTAATACTTCTGTCGACGCTTTTATGAGAGTGAAAAGAAACCGCCTCACCATAGCGCCTCTGCCACCTCCACGGATGTATCCGACCTGATACGGCCGACCAGACACAGCACGTGATGTTGGCGGAGTAAGCGTTTGGAGAAGACGCGAAGAGTCCATTCGTGGGGTAGAAAGCCGTGGTCGTTTCGCAGCTCGAGGTTCCCATCCTGTCAGTTCAGACCCCTCGGTGTACGTACTATCACAGCTTTCGTCATCATTCCCTTCATCGGCAGGAGGAAAATACTGGTAGTCCTGTAAGTAAGCAATAAATGAGAATTTGCACACATGAGAAATTTGGATCACTAATGCTCGCAATGTGGCACAGTCTAAGGACTTGCCTCAATCGAGATTCTTTTTATCGAGTCTCGGAACAACCTGCATATGCCCGGACAATAATATTTTGTGGTGATACTAAGTCTTTGAAATCCATCGTCTTCAGTGGGATTCTTTTGGAAAGGTGATAGCCTTGATCTTCATCATGAATGAGTAGTAAATCAAAGGGACACACTAGGAAGACATGGGTATTACCTCCTTCACAATATTATATATGCGTTAGGTCGCTCACAACAAATGGATATCAGTCGATACTCTATTCAAAGTTTCTCGCTTTCCTGTAGATCTGGGCCCAATCAACTACTTTTGAGAGATGCAAGGATCCCATGAAATGAGCTGAGATATTTAAACTGTGCCGCCGCCCACTCAATAGTTCACCAAACACGTCAACAACACATTCAATTTACGGAAATTTTTTTTATTCTTTTAAGGAAAGGTCGCAATGGTCACCCTGCAAAATTCTTCAGCCATGTCATGCTTCTCAGTTTCCTTTAGTTTTTTTTTCGAAAATTTGATTGTGACTACCTTTTGTCTTTGAGTAGAAGCGGAGGTAAAAGGAAAACTTTCGCCAGACTTTAAAAAAAGGATGACCAATCCAAACACAATGACACTCGTCATGGGCAATCTCAGTAAAAAACAACGAAGTCATAATGCCAAATCGCGCGATCCCTGGGCTAAATTCACGTAGTGAT